CACCCGCCCGCTCACTCCCACGGGGCACCACGCTCTCCGAGGGGAGCCATGGGTCCCTGCCAGTTTCTGCCTTGTACTATGACGCGTTGGGTATGAGCCTTGTCATCCGGGTGAGATTTTAGATTTCTCAGGCTCAGGGACTGTGTCTAGTTCATCTTGCCTTGGGAAAAACTGGACCCAACTCCAGGGTGGCCCAACTTCCTGTTCTGAAAATGGTTGTTTTAGGGAGGGTCATGGTTCTGTGACTGTGAATGGCAGTGATCCGGTGCTGTATCAAACAGACAAATAGAGGTGAAATGTTGTTTTGAGGATATTGATTTACTCAGGCTAACAAACATTAGAAACACAGGCTTTCAACCTGTGCTTCCTGTAGCGGAAGGACCCTTTCTTTGTCCCTCCCTCACTTCCTCCCTCCTCCCTCCTTCTGTTCTTCCCTTTCTCTTTCCCTCCCTCCTCCCACTTCCTGCATTCCTTCCTTTCTCTGTCACCCCTCCCCAACCCCACCTCCCTCCTCCCTTCCTTCCTCTCTTTCTCTTTTTTCTCACTTTCTCCCTCCTTCCTGGAAGGCTCCAAGCTTTGGGGCCTGAGGAAGTGGGTGGATGGTGCTGCATTTCGGAAGATTGGGAAGACGGGGGAGGAGCGGAAGTGAGAATGTGGAGCCGGGCTTCTCTGGTGGCCCTGTTACAATGGGAGATGTCTCTTGGACACCGAGCAGTGATAGAATAAATGAGGCAATAGAGAGAGAGCACACAGTAGGTGCTCACTAAATGGTGGCTGTTAGACACTCAGCAAGTTGCCCCATAATAACATAACCGTTCGGATGAGAGACAATGGCGCTGCCGCTGGTGCTGGCCGTGGAAGGCGTGGCTTGCTGTCTGGCTCTATCACCATCACCTTTCTTTTTCTCTTCTGCTTTTTAAAAAAATATATTTTTGTTGATTTCAGAGAGGAAGGGAGAGGAGAGATAGAAACATCCATGATGAGAGAGAATCATTGATTGATTGCCTCCTGCACACCCCCTACTAGGGATCAAGCGTGCAACCTAGGCATGTGCCCTTGACCGAAATCGAACCCGGGACCCTTCAGTCTGCAGGTCGACGCTTTACCCACTGAGCCAACCCGGCTAGGCCACCATCACCTTTCTGAGTCCGGTTTCCTCATCAGTAAAATAAGAATCCCGACCGCCTCTCAGGGAGGGGCTGGGAGATGTCAAGTGAACACAGTTTGAAAAGCATGTCCATCCCTCTCCGTGAGCCGTGGCTCATCAAAGAAGTGAGAGGCCAATTATCCCAGAAGAATGTCGGAGGTCATGGTGCCAAGGGAAGTGCCCTGAGCCCTGTGTCTGAGGTTTCCCTGGAATCCGAGCTGGAAAGACGGGTTCGGCCTAACTCTGCCCTGGCTTCCCTGGCCGGCTCAGCTGTCTGCGGCTTCGAGCAGCCCGCCCGTGGAATGCCGGCGCTGAGGTTGTCCAGAGAAAGTGTTGGGGTCTCGGCTGTAAGGCTTTTCCTTGAGCAGGAAATATTCTGCTGCATCAGCTGGGTGCAAGGCGGTGAGGACTTCTGTTGGCTGAGCGCAGGAGTTTTATTCAAGGGTCTGAGCGTTTGCAAACTTAGAACACAGGTAGGCGAAACCCCAGAGGTGTCCCAAAGGATGAAAAGCTCACAGTTCTCAAAGTAAAAGTTATATCCTGGAGGATAACCAGCCCTGCCTTGTTCGCTCTTTTTAAAAAAATATCTGGCCAAAACCGGTTTGGCTCAGTGGATAGAGCGTCAGCCTGCGGACTGAAAGGTCCCAGGTTCGATTCCGGTCAAGGGCATGTACCTTGGTTGCGGGCACATCCCCAGTAGGAGGTGTGCAGGAGGCAGC